ATTTTCTTTCAGTGGCTTCCTGGTGTTCTTGGAGTAAAATCCAAAGTCTTCACGGGGATTTTACTCCAGAACCTGCCAGCCAGGCTCTCAGAAATTCTGTCTTTATCCTAAGAGGTGTTGGGAGCTGTGGGCAGCACCCTCACGTAATCAGGGCTGACTTCTTTGGGAACAATGTGTGGGACAGATCAGTGATGTCTGCAGGGAAGGTAGTTCTGCACACAGAGCGCGTGTTCCTTCCGGATGTATTCCTGGCACGCGGGGAAATGCCAGGCGCATCACCGAGCCGGTGTGCATTCTGTTGGTTGAACACCTACTTTGACTCTCTGCCTGTAAAGCAAGAGTAAAACTAGCCATTCGGTTGTCCTAGTAGGTGGATGTAATGAGATAATGGAGATTATCTCATGCCCGGTGCACGGTAACCACTTACTCATTTTTCGTCCAGTATTTAAGGAGCATCTGCTGCTCGCTAGGCGTGGCTCAAGGTCCCCGGGGTACGGAATGGGGTGTGGGGGTTGGCTGGTGTCTGCTCAGGAAAGGAAGCCACCTGGTGAAGGGTGGTGGTGGGGGGGCAGGAGCTGAGGTTGGGGACCTGGGGTGGGGGTGGGATGGGCTGGAAGGGAGGCCCCATATCTGTGGTTAAGGACCAGGCCCTGGAGTCTGGTGCTGGATTAGATTCCTAGCTCTGCTGCTGCTGACCAGTGGGCTGTGGGAGAGCCTGGCGGTCCCTCTGTGCCCAGGTTCGTCCACACAAGTGGAGAAACCCAGGGTCTACCTCCAAGGGTCGCTAGGAGGGGGAGGAAATGAGCTACAGGGGAAGCGCACACCGAGAACGGGCTCCGTGAGCCCTCCCGGCCAGCCTCGCCCGCCGGCCCTGCTTTTGGCAGAGATGGTTTTCGTTCTGGGAAACAGTGCTCCATCCCAAAGCAGAGAAGGCTCTCCTGGGTGTGGGTTTGGACAAGTCCCTGCTCTCGGGGTTAACGGGCTGATTCAGACCAAATAATAAAAGAAAGTTCCTAACCAACAACTATACAAACAACGTATTAGGCCATTGATGTCATCCGAAAGAGGGAGCCGGGGGGAAAAGGGGAGAAGTTGAGGTCCAAGGCTCAAATGTTCTCCCTAGCAAACTGCGGAACCTCTCGGGTTCCAGGTCCAATCAGTGGTATCGGGGGAGCTGAGACTAGGGTGCCAGGTCGGTTGGAAAGCGAGTCCTGCACAGCCCTTTGTGGGGTTGATACTCGCTACAATTGACCACTGATCCGCGCAGGGGTTAGGGGGCGCCCACCCCTGTGCAGTGGAAAATCCGAGTATAACTTTTGACACCCCCAAACTTAACAAGTAACAGCTTCCTGTCACTTGGAAGTCTTACCGATGACATATGCAGTTGATTAACAAATTTTGTGTATTGTATGTATTATAGACGGTATTCTTGGTGTTTTTTTTTTGGTACGTGCCCCAGCGGGAACCGAACTGGGACTCTCTGGTCCCCAGGCCGATGCTCCAACTGCTGAGCCAAACCGGCCAGGGCATATAGACGGTATTTTTACAATAAAGTAAGATAGAGAACAATATTATTAAGAAAATCGTAAGGAAGAGGGAAAAACAGTTTTAGTGGAAAACACTCCCGCGTGTAAGTGGGCCCACGCCATGCAAACTACGAGTCACCCTAAAAACAACCCTTTGCTGCTGTTCCACTGGAGCTGCCCCGTGGTCCCACATGGGGCGATCCAACTACCTAGGAGGCGGACGAGTAAGGGATTATAATCCCGATTTGCATATTACATGCACTCCTGTGTTCGTTTGTTCTGAGCATATTGATCACGGCTGCAGGCAGACATCATGGAGTTCCAGCGAGAACAGGGCACAGTGTCGTCTGTGTTTGTGGAGTTTGGTGGAGCAGGACGACAGGCAGGAGCCACTGATTACGCGATATAACGCGGAGTGAGTGTGACCGCACGGGTTTGAGCCCCGGCGGTAGCTGGCGGGGGTGTGTGATCCGACCTCGGCGGGGAACCCGTCCCTGCTCCCTTTCTTCGTCCACTCCCTGCAGCCTCCTCCAGTTCCATATGAAGTACCCATTAGCGGTGGAGAGGTGTGGGAGGAGGTCGGAGGGTGAGATCTAGGATTCATTACTGGACATCTGAGTGCAGATGGAGTAGGCAGTTGGAAGTATGTTTTGATCAAGTACTGCAGATGTGGCAAATGAAACGAGGGTGGAAAAGTGTCTGACGTCCTACTGCAACTGGAGTGAAAACCCAGTTCTTGCCACTGTCTTTGCGAGGCCCTGCCGTATTCCATGTGCTCCTGGCCTTACTCACTGGGCCGCACACATGGGCCTCTAGTTCTTTCTCCAAGCCAGCCTCCCTTCCATCCTGACGGTTCCCACTGGGCTTCTGGACGGAGGTTGCTGTTCCTGGGGACCCCAACCTGAAATAGCAGTACCTTCCCCTCTCCAGTGACCCTCGTGTTGCAAATATAGGTCTCTGTGTGTGGTCTGTCTCCTTGGAGAACAGCAGTCTTCAACCGGTGTGCAGCAAGAATTTTGTGTGTGTGTGTGGTATGTGCCCCTAGTGGGAACCGAACCCGGGACTCTCTGGTCCACAGGCCGACGCTCAACCGCTGAGCCAAACTGGCCAGGGCAGAGATTTTTGGCCATGATTCTTTTTTTTTCTTTTTCTGTGTGTGTGGCATGTGTCCCTAGCGGGAACAGAACCCAGGACTCTCTGTTCCGCAGGCCGACACTCAACCGCTGAGTCAAACTGGCCAGGAGCAAGAATTCTTAAAACATGCAATACCTGATGATTTAGTCAGGGCCACTGACCAACTCAACAATAGCTGTCTGGTGTGAATGAATCAAAATTATACCTATCACCTGGCCAGTGTGGCTCAGTGGTTGAGCGTCGACCCATGCACCCAGAGGTCCCTGGTCAGGGCACATACTCAGGTTGTGGGCTATATCCCCAGTGGGAGGCATGCAGGAGGTGGCCAATCTATGTTCTCTCTCAGTGATGTTTCTATCTCTGTCTCCCTCTCCCTTTCGCTAAAATCAATCAAGAAAACAAAAACAGAAAAACCCCAGAATTATACCTATTTTTTTAATCAGATCGGCAAAAATATATTTTTTGGTATGCTGCAGAATTTTAGTAATTAGTTTATGTGCCAGGAGATGAAGAAGGTTGAAAATCACTGCTCTAGAACATACAATGAAGTCCAGAGGGGTAAGGACTTCATGTGTTTAACTTACTCTGAACTCTGCCTCCCGTCCTACAGTAGTGCCAGGCCCTCCCAAAACTCTGGGCTCACAACTTTGCACAGTGTGTCTCATGTAAAAATAAATATTATTTATGCCAATAATGTAATTATATATATTTCGTTCTCCAGTTTTATTGAGATACAATTGACATATGACACTGTAACAAACTATAGAAATGATCCCTGAAAGTATAGTCTTGACATATGACACTGTATAAGATTGTACCACATGATGTGATGTATGTATATGTTGCGAAATCATTACCACAGTACGTTAGCATCCATCATCTTACACAGTTACAGTTTTTTCCCTTGTGATGAGAACTTTTGTTTCTTTTTCTCCCTCTTCCACCATCTCCTCCACTTCATCATCATCCCATTTTATGGATGAAGAAACTGAAACCTTAATCCAAAGGGATTAAGTAATATTCTAGAATTAATGAGCTTTTAAGAGGTGGAAGTGGCCCAGCTGGTGTGGCTCAGTGGTTGTGCGTTGACCCATGAGGTCGATTTTGGGTCAGGGCACATGCCCAGGTTGTGGGCCAAAATCCCTAGTGGGGGTGTGCAGGAGGCGGCCAGTCGATGTTCTTTCTCATCGATGTTTCTCTCTCTCTCTCCCTTCCTCTCTCAAATCAATAAAGAAAACAAACAAACAAACAAACAAATAAATAAATAAGGGGTGGAAGTGGAGTGGAGTGTTTGAGCCCTGAGTGACTGGAGAGAAGACATTCCAACACCTTGGCAGACAACCCCCGCCCCCCGGAGAACCCGGGTTTAAACCACTCTTAGGACAAACAGAAGTTGATTTCCTGAATGAGTGGGAAGGGAGCCCCGGGCAGAGGGAACCGCAGGTCTGAAGGCTCTGGGTCACACTGGTTGAAGCTGAGAACCCTACGTGAAGGGGGGCCAAGGCTTGAGGCTGGAGAGAGAGGCAGGGGCCAGAGGTCCAGCCTGGGGAGGCCAGGAAGCACTGGAGTTTGTTCTCAGCTCCTGGGGCGAGAGGAAACCATTCAGAAGGGCAGTGCCATGATCTGATTTACACTGGAAATGATCTCTTGGGCTGTGGGGTGGGGAATCTAGTTAGGCCAACCTAGAAAGAAAGCAAGTTTGGAGAAACCTCACTTACTCAAATATTTGGAGGAGAGAGTGAGTTGGTGGTGCTGTGGAGTAGGCTTGGGTTAGAGATGACGTGCCCAACGTTGAAATATGTTTAGAAGTGATAGGCTTTACTGACGGATTCAAGCTGTGTGGCCAAGGAGGGCGAACTGGAGTTTGGCTTCTTGGTTTTGACTGGAGGGAGTGGGTGCATGGAAGAGGGTTCCATTTATTGAGATGAGAGTAGGAATCAGATTTCAAGAAATGTTCCTTACCTTCCTCTTCCCAGGCTTCCTCTTGTCCCGGAGCCTCCCCATTTGGAATATCAGATGAGTGCAAAAAGCTTTAAAGAGGTGCTCCCGAAGTTATTGTGGCACACATAATTTTTAAAGAAAGTTCACATTTCCAGGTTGAGTGACGTCAACCTTGGCGACACTTCCAGAATATTAAAGACAAAAGTGCTTGCAAAGGGGAGGGGGGCACTGATCTGACTTGTCAATGGGATAAATTCAGTTAAAATAAATAACAACCCCCCACCCCCCGCCCACGCTGTCAAATTAATCTAATCTAGACCTCTATTTAAATTGAGCCTTATTCTTGGCCCCTCCCTTTTTTGGTTTGCGCATAAAATCCAGCAATCACATCTCTTCCAGGATTGCTCCGAGCCAGGTGGACTGGCAAACTCTGCGAGAAAAGGGAGTCTCCAGGTTCCACACACTGCCTCCACTTCCCAAAGGTAATTTCTGCTATTTGTTGTGGTCGTCTATTATCATGATGTTCTATAGAGGGGTTAACGTTTTGAGCCGACTTGAGTGAAATCAAGAAACTTCACAGGAGAGAGAGAAGTGTGGGGGCTCCTGCAGTTGGTGGTGATCCCCACTTAATTTAGTGCACTCAGTCGTGTTAAAAGGGCTGCCCCTGTTTTCTTCTCAAATGTCCTTTGTAGTTTGCAGAGGCTGGCAGGTTTGGCTAACTTTCTCATTCTCTTTTCCTGCTAACTCCTCACTGCAGTTTTTCAGGTTTTCCTGCTCTGAGCACTAAATTCTTTTTAAGTCAAGTATCTATGTTGGCTCCATTTCAGCTCCAGGCTTTTTACACACAGTTCCCAAATTGTTTTTCTGTAATAGTTCCCCAGTAAAACAAATACTTGCGAAATAAGGAGATCATACCGCTTTCTGTTCTTCTAATGAAAGTTAGGTCCCCAAAGATGATTCGAATAGACGGTAAATATAGCAAATCAGAAGGGTTTTTTTTTTTTTTTGCTATTGGATCTGGAGAGAAAAATCATAGTTGGCTAAAAGAGGTCTCATATCACTAGGATTAAATCAGAGATAATAGGGCGATTTTTAAAAAGCGGACACTGGGAAACATCTTAAGGAGGGCTGGTCTGTTTAGATAATTGTGAATAATGAAGTGTAGCTGACGTTTGTCGAATTAGAAAGAGGGGAAGTGAGGCTTTTTCTGCCCCTTCCCTGAGTAGCATGTGCAGAGCATCAGCTCACATTGGAAGAGACATTTCTGGTCCCATTCTTTCTTTGTGTTGCTGCTTCCTGCAGCACCTGACTCCTTAAGAATTAGTCTAGCTAGGGGGTGATGGCGAAACAGGATTACTCCTGGGTGGGTGGAGCTAAGTATATGTAGACCAACGTTCGATTTTCAATTTTCATTTCACACAATAATACTAGATACTTCGCCTTTTTTTACAAAACACATGTTCCTAGTGTTGCTACTTCTGGAGTTCCCATTTTTAATTGTTTTAACTCGAAGTGCTTTCCAAACACATCTTAAGTAGGCGTCTCTCCATTCCGAAGGGAGATGGTGTGTCACAGGCGCCCTTAGAGCGAATTCAGATCACTCCATGACCATTTGAAAACACGGTGTATGTTTGCAACCCAGCACTCAGTCACTGGCAGAATTTTGCAAGCATTTCCCAGTTTTTTATTGGCATGCTTCCAAGAATAAGGTTCTTTGTAATTCCTTGCTCAAACATAAGGATCACATATAAAACTCTTAGCAGATAGAACAGTTAATACAATCATCTTTCAATTTTAAAAGCTACAACATAATAAGGTTTTTTTTGGGGGGGGAGAAACAGTAGCTAACAGACCATATGATGTTATTATGCTAACAGGGTGGTAGCTTTGTGAGGGCATAGAGGGGGGAAAAAAAGCCTTTTTGCTCTGAAAATAATTCAGTAGCAACAAGGTCTGAGAGCCAGGAGCCCTATTGTTCTTAGTGAAACGATTATTTGTCAAAACATTTGATTGTTTCCCTATTCCTACTGAAAAAGTTTGGACTTTTCTTTTTGGCTCGATTTTGATAGGATTTTAAACTATCAGTGGCTATTGTGTTTACAGCTTTCAGGGTTTCAGAGTTCAAAGGTTATCCATTAACATGTAGAGTGAGGCTACACTTATGTGAAGACTCAACCTGGTTCCACTAGTTCATAGTTTCTTTGTTCAGGCGCAAGGCTGGGAGTCATTTGTTTTGGTAAGTTCAATGAAGCTTCTTGTTTATGAAGAGTTTGCCTCTGGCCTGTGTTTCAGGATGTGACTATGTATAAGCCTCTAAAAAGTATTTTGAAGAAAGGTATTCATCTGAGAAAGGGAACCTTAGTACTAGAAGTAATCGGTATCAGTGTGCTTGAGTGAAAAAAAAAAAAAAAAAAAGTTCTGGCCTAAGAATCTACTTCTGGCGCTGCTAATTAATTAAGTGTGAGTAAGTAATTGGTTCACTTCCTTTTTAGAAAAGACTAACCAGACCATATGTGGGGCTAGTAGTTATATATGAAATGACAGCAAAACATCACACTTGGCAAATTCTTCCCCTTTGCTAAGAAGCTGCCTCTCAAATTCCATTTCCTATTTATTAAGGATTGCATTGCTCACCAGCCCAGCACTTAGGTAGTGGCTTTTTTTCTTTTCTTTTTTTGGTCCTGATTTATTAACTAAATACTTTAAGTGCCTTTCTTGATATGTTTTAAGTTTTTCCATTTTGGATACACTGAAGGCCAAAAGAAAAAAAAAAAATACTGGGCTACTTTGTTTGTGGTGACTTGCATAGCTCCGTTTACATTTGCATTCGTTTGCATCTTGGGGCAGAAAACTTAGTGGGTGTGATTGTGCCTCCGTGCTTCCTCTTGGGGCTTAAAATGGGGGAAATCAGTGTCCTCGGAATTATAACTTTTTTTTTGGTGAGCAAGGGAAACGCTTTAAATGAGTTGGGCTGGGGAGGAGGGGGAAAGGTTTTTCTTCTTTTGGTTCCCACTTTAATAAGCCCGGTTTCATCCACGTGGATTTCTATCAAAGCCAAGTGGATTCTTGGAACCTAGGCCAAGTTTGGAAATCTCAAGTTATAATAGCGCAAACCCAGGCCTTTCAGAAAAATAACAACAAAGGACAGCTTTATGAAGATACTAATTAAAAAACATTTTAATCATCTTGTCTCATCGCCCTTCCTCACACTTGAAGAAAACCTGAAAAAGAATGTTGTTTGTGCACAGCTGCCGTGTAATCTACCCAGACGGGTGTAAAGGCTTTTTGTTTGCTGGTAATTCTGTATGACCCAGGAGTTCGGGCGACCAGCCCCTCCCCTCGCTGGGCACACCTTGCAAGGGAGGGGGAGGCGGCGAGGCGGAGGCCTGGATCTGCGCCTGCGCGCTGCCCTCTAGGCCCCCTCCCCGCGTACCTGTCACTGGAACCGCCGGGCGTTCGCGGGCCACGTTAGGCCGGATGGCGGGAGGCGGGGGCTCTGGGGGCGGTGAAAGGCGCGCGCGTGCGCGGGAGTCTCCGGGGCGAGAACAGGGAGTGCGCGCGCTCGTCCGCCGGCTCGCGCCCCGGAGGCGGAGCCCGCGGCGGTGGGCGGGGCAGGGGCGCGCCCGCGAAGGTCACGTGGGCGCGGGGCGGGGCCTCGGGGGCGGTCGCGCGGCCGGTGTAGGCAGGAGGCGGGGCGTATTCGAACGGCGGGGCCGAGGGAGGGCGCAACAGCTGCTCCCTGAGCACTTTCTGACCCAACAGTCCCGGTGCGCCGGACGCGCCGCGCCCCGGCGGCTCTAGGGACCCCCCGCGCCTGCACTGTCCCCTCGCGGACGAGTAGGGGGCGCCCGAGCCTTTGCCCCCCGTGCGCACCCCCACCCCGCTCACCTTAGCCCCGCGCCCGAGGTGAGCCCGGCCCCCAAATCCTCCGGGCGGGGGTGGGGTGGGGGTGGGGGGCGCTCCTTTTGGGGGGTCTTCAGGCGCGAGGCCCCGTGGGGGATGGCTTCGCCCCTCGCCCCGTGGCCCCCCGTCTGTTTTGGGGGGCCGGTGCCGGCGCGGAATCCGGGAGGTGTCCGCACAAAAGGCCGAGAGAAACTCCCCGTCGCCTCCCCTCCCGCCTGCTTCCCCGCCCCCTCCCCTCGCCTGCTCCCTCCTCATTCAAACCTCGGCTGGCTCGTGTGGTGTCAGTTCAGTCCCGGCCGCCGCCGAGCGAGGAAATGGCCGAGGAGCCGGAGCCGCAGGTAAAGGGGGCGCGCCCCCGCCCGCGCCGGGCCCCAGGGGGCGCCCCGCTTCGCCCCTCCGGCGTCCCCCCGCGCCCGCCCTCGAGTCCTCGGTGCTCGTTACCTCGCCCCCTCCCCGGATGGTCGCCCCGCCCGGCCCCCCCGTTCCTCCTCGATTCCGCTCCTCTAGGGCGCCCCCTCCCCACCCGGCGAGAAGGTGTCGGGCGAGCCCCCGGTGTGTACAGACAGTGTTTTACCATCACACTCACTCTGGGAAATAGTCGAAATGGCTTGGGGGTGGGGAGTCCCCCCCTCTCCGGGTCGAGCGCCAGGGGCCGGCCGGAGGGAGCCGGGGGGCTGCCTACGAGGGTGCGTGGGGGCTTTCCTGGAAAGTTGGATGGCGCCTCGGGGCGGGCCTCCCTGTTGGCCCACCCGGCCGTGGGGGGCGGGGGCCGGCGAGGGGTCCCCCGCAATGGCCCGGGAGGGGCCGGGGCAAGTTGGAAACAGCCAAAACAATGCGTCCTAACAGGCGTCCCCCGCAAACAATGGCCGGGACCGTCCACACCGGCCGGGCGAAGGGCGCGCCTACGGGGGCCGGGGGAGGGGCCGGGCCTGGCCGCGGACCCCGACGCGCACCCCGACGGGCCCCCCGGCGCCCCCAAATCCGTGCCTGGGAGTCCCGGTCTTCTGGCCGTCTCTGAGCAGGCGGTGCACAGGGCCGCTTTTCCTGGATGTGCGACTAGGATTTTTATTTGCCCCCTTTAATTTTAAAGGTGTAAAAAACAAACAAAACAAACTTTCAGAATAACCCCTGAATGCTTAAAGAAGACGTTTCAGAAGTCAGTCCTAGTGGGAGACCCGGCGCCCGCCTGAAGCAGAACCGGGAGCTCCAAAGGGCAGGAGGGATTGAAATGTTCGCCTAAAAGTGTTTCTTTTTTCTAAAAGGGAAGTTTTCTGCCAGCAGGCGCTGAGTGGCGAAACCGCGCAGTTTCAGATGTAGAGCCCTCTTCCCTCTTGATTTGGCCCCAAAATGCAAGCGGCACGGGATGGGGAGGGGAAGGAGGGGAGGGCGCTGCTGGGGGCCCGGGAGGCTGGATTTGGGGCGGCCTGGTTGGTTGGTCCTGCGCCGCGGGCGAGAGGTGGCCTGCGGGGTGCTCAGGCCGGTAACCTGCGCGCCGGGGCTCATAGCCATTCAGGTTCCTAGTGGGAACCCCACATTTTAGGATTCGGGGTAGGGCCACCGAGGACGGGAAGTCACATTC